CCCCCTCTTTTGACACCATCTGACCTTCTTTCCCTTTTTGAGTGAGTCTGGTTGATTTCACAACAACAACAATAATAATAATAATAATAAACAGGACAGTAAAGGTTACAGTGCAGTGTACAGTCAGGGTTAAAATAGTTAATTGGAAAATAAAAACAGGCTGACGGGTGCAAAAAATTTTGAAAAGAGAATAAACAGAGAATTACAATTAATCTACTCTCTCTAGCTAGTCTGTACTCGGGTCCATAGCAATCTTTGGGTCCACTGAAACTCCAAAAACCCTCGGACACTACAGAGAAACCAGGACATGTCTGTCTGCAGGCCACTTTGATCCAGTTATACTCTGGACCCACCTGCGCATTTACAGGTGGACAGAGGTTCCTGCAAATGACTCGGGCGCGAGATTTAAGACCACTTCCTTCACTCTGTTCAATCTCACTCTCATTATCTTTTCACTCAATAACCGACTCATTTCTCACATGTAAATATTTAATTTAAAGCAATGGTAAGAAAAGTTTAAGTCTTAATTTAAAAGAACTGACAGTTTCAGCAGACCTGCAGTTTTCTGGGAGTTTATTCATAGCATAATAACTGAACGCTGCTTCTCCTTGTTTAGTTTTGACTCTAGTTTTGATTGGTATCAAAAGATCCTGATTGGAGCACCTCTAAATATAATCTTATTAATGAAATCAACACTTTTCAGGGTAGATGCTGGCAAGTAAAATACTGCATTTTATTAGTTGTATTGGCCACTTAAAGGTATTTTAACAGGTAAAAAGGACTGGATTGGTTGGTACACAGCAAGTAAAATAATGCAGAGTCATAAGTATAATTACAAAAGAGATCATGTCTATATAACTCAGCAGTAAGTCATGTTGATTATAGGCTACAGTCTGTTTTCCAAATATAAACAAAGACATTAGACATACGCCTACCAAACACATAATCCATCGGCAACAACGGGCCTCTATTTATTATTCTATTCTATTCTATTCCATTATTTATTCTTATTAAAAGAAACAGTAAAGTTTATAAAAACATACCTTTGCTATTACCACGGACATAAAGTGATAAAATATTATATCATAAGCACTCATCTGGGGGCACCATCTGAATTTACGCTCGCCCAAGGAGTCCTTAGGTATGGCTTAATAATTGCACAATTCTTTTTTTTTTTTTAAACCTGTCCTGCCCAGCAGCCTGGTATAGAGTATGATGACCTGGATACCATATTGTGCCAGACAGATTTTACTTAAACAAGAGAGTATTAAAATACTCCTTTGTCTGTTTTATTATTTATTTAATTATGTATTGACTTGTCACCGGGCCGGACAGGGGGGCAGACACGGGGATGGGGGGGCACAAACAGATAGCACAGAGAAAGGACAACACCTGCAAGAGAAGGGGGATGGAAGGTGGGGACAACAGGGAAAAGCTGTGGGAAACACCAATTGCAGAAAGCAACGAAACCTGCAATAGAACAGAGAGGGGGGCTTGGGGAGGAGAAAAACAACAACAAACAAACAAACACAAACAACAAACAATAAAAATAATAATAATAGTAAAAGACAACCAGCCGAACAGCAGCAATAAACAGCTGACATAGTAACACAACTAAGAGAAAAATGAAAACAAGAAACAGTCACACACACTAAATAAGCAACAACACAGCCACAAGAGCTGGAATAATAATTAACTTAAATAAGTAACTGAAAGAAAAGCATCAGGAATAATTCTACCAGGGACAACCTAAGTTTGTTTGTGTCTGTGTGTCTGTGTGCGTGTGGGTGAATGTGTCTGTATGTGTGTGTGTGTACATGTGTGTGCGCATAAGCCTGTTAAAGAATGTAGTTGTTAGTGAGAGTGGGACGCCACGACTGTAACAGGCAGGCAAGAACCCCAGTAGCCAATAGGGGTGGGAGAAAGAAAAAGAACAAATCAACCGTGCAACACCAGCCAAACCAGCAACGAGGCAAAATCAACTAGCTCAGCTGCATGCCATCAACAACCCACCCACCCATCAAGGGCACAAACCCAGAACAAACCGGAGCCCAGCCCTGCCCCGCACCCACACTGCACATCCCGAAAATTACTATATACCTCAGTATCCAGAGGTGTCCAACAACTGGCCGACAGAGAAATGGGGAAGCACGGATCCAAGGCCAACAAAGCAAAACAGGGACGCAAACAAGTCCCTCCAGGAAAAGCCTCCCCCGGACTCCAATGCACAAACTAAACGCCCAGCAGCCATCCAGAGACCCTGCCCAGGGAAAAAGCATAATGCATCAAGATGCATCGACAATCGCCCCACAATCCCACTGCAGCTCACCAAACCGCAATCGGATCAACCCGCGCAGAGACCCCCACCCCCAGAAGCCAGGACACCCTGCGACCCCCCAAAGCGCAAAGGACCCCAGACCCCGCCCCAAGGAAGAACAGCAGAAAGCCGTGCCGGGAGGCTCCCTGCCGCCAGGGAGCGATAACGCAGGAGAACCAGCCAGAGGCATCCCTCCCTACAGTGCAGGCAGTGACAGCAGCCCCCGAGGCCGATCTCATCTCCGGACAGGGGCCCAGCCTCCCAGTCAAGCACCCCCAATGAGGAGCACCAAAAACTACCCCGACAACACCGGCCATGCGCCCCAGAGACTCCCGAATGCACCCACCGTGAGAGAGCTGGCAGGGGGAAGCAGCGGGAGCCTCACCTCTGCCGAAGAAGGCCCAGGCGAGGAGAGGAGACAACGGCCCAGGGACACACCACCCACCCAGAAATGAGCAAAGGCCACAAGCCCAAGTCCCCAGAACCCTAGGTCACGGGCGGGCCCCCACGCCAGGGGAGCCCCGACCCCCCCCAGCCCACCATCAGGCAAGGCCGCCACCAACCCCACAGCACCCCCGACGCCCGGGGCTCCAGGGGTAGGACACGAGGCCAATTAGAATCTCCCCCACTCCTTCAACCCCTCTGCCTGCCTCTGTAAATGTATTGTTTTGTGTTGGATGCATGTCATGGATTGTGAAGTGTTGTATGGTGGAGTAAAGATAAGGTGTGTGGTAACTAAGGTGCAACTAAAACTGGAGGGTAGTTGTGACACAGGCACCCCACAACTGTCAGGTAGTGGAGCCTCCCATCGTGCCCCTCCCACCCCCCAAGCCCTCTGTGTCTAATGTGTAATTAAAATTGAGGGGCAGGCAGTGAGGGAGGAAGAAGTGCGAGGCCGCAATAAAGCAGCCCCACCCCCCAAACGCCCTGCAGTAGCCCTGGCTGTAGAACATTTATCATTATATAAATGATTATGATGTCACAATGTTAATGCTAATGCTAAACTGCTAATGCTAGCCTAGATATAGTGATATCTTTATGTCAATGTTATTACTCATGCACGTAGATGCTAATATCTTTAAGTTGATAATATGTTATGGCTAGACATTTAAACTCAGTGCTTGAGGTGTACTGATTTCTCCTTATTTGTTGATTTATAATTCCAGAGACCATAGGACTGTTCAAGTTTATGTCACTGTGTACCTAAGGCATTAAAGACAAAGGAACCCAAAATTCCTGCCCCTACCACGGGTTTGACCTTCAATATTGGTCCTTTGAGCCGGAGCTCTTCACCTGCAGTGGTTACAGTATGGCAGAACATGGAGCAACATGGAGCAGCCCTAAAAACAACAGCACCTTCCATCTCACCTGTATGATTATCAGGTGACCATGCCACAATCTTTGAGAATGTCTAAACTTCTTAGTGCCAGCAGCCCGGAGTTGTGGTCATGTAGTAGGCAACAGAGGCTCTCTACAACACATGACCAGCTTCATAAGATGCTCAGTCATCCAGGAGGTCTGATACAGTGTCAGAGTTATGAGGTAGAGGAATTGGAATCAGCTACTCTCTCTCTAGGATGTCCCCATCCTTTGTCAGAGGGAAACCGAGATGGCAGTGCAGTAACCTAACGAGTGGTTCTTCTTCAATCTCCCCCAAAGCTCACAACTACACAGCGCAGCATCAATGTCTATTCACGCCCCTACATCGTTGCCTATCATCAGGAGCGCTGCCAGCTATACATCAGCCCCACCGTCTACATCGACACTGAGGCAGCTTGCACCAACACAGTTTCTTCAAGATGGCGCTCGACTGTTTGTTGACTCCCCAAACTGAACTGTCTGAACATTAACAATATTGAGTCCTTATGGAACACCTGGTATTAGAAGAGGCATGCCTTATCGCTCAGGCTTGTCGTCACCACCCTCAGCCATATTCAGCTGCTATGCAAGCATTACAGCAACAATATGGACAATCTCACCAGCTTGCACAAGGTGAAATTTTATCCATACTGAATTCCCCTGACATAAAGGCTCCAGATTCCAAGGCGTTCCAGAGCTTTGCTCTCTGAGTCGACCTTGGACTGGAGCTTACTTCAACTGGTCATGTGGATAGACTCTTGAAAAAGCTTCCTAAATATTTGAGGGACAGTTTTATCGAACGTTTATCATCCAAAATGGCCCAACAGAACCTTTCTGAGAAATCACAGACAGGAAAAGGTGGCAAACCTTTTAATGAGCTCAAGTCAAAGAGCCAACCGCCTGTGACAATCTATCAGGAAGGGCTAACCCTGCAGAAGAGACTGTGTTACGACCACAGTACGTCTTGTCCAATCCAAAATCAAAGAAGTCTTTTCTGTAAGGGTAATGACCACTACCTTTCACAGTGCCTGATCATTATCACCCAGACAACTGATCAGATAGAAACATGGATCGCAGAGTGAAAGAGATGTTGTAAGTGTGGTCGCACTAATCATGGACCTGATGCTTGTACACTCAGAAAGGCTTGCAGTGAATGTCAAGAAGTCCATCTAGGAGTCTTGCACGTCATTGCTAAGCCAAGTCCAGGGGTGTACCTCATTACTCCACTTGAGAGGACTGCCCTCTCCCTTACAAAACAAGGTGCAGGAGTTTATCTGAAGGTTGTTCCTGTAATAATAAGGAATGGCAGTAAGTCTCTACACACCTATGCTATACTGGATGACGGCACTGAGCGTACCATCATACTTGCCGAAGCAACACATCAACTTGGCCTGGTAGGTCAGGCCGAGTCTATGGCACTGCGGACAATCCGTCACGATATAGCTCACATCAATGGTGCCTCGGTTGACTTCCATGTATCATCCACCATACATCCAGAAAAAAGGCACTTCATTCGCAATGCCTTTACAGCCAGCCAGCTTGTTCTTGCAGATCTGTCACGGCCGGGGGCCAGAAACTCAAACGCAGACTAGAGAATGCACTGAAAGTGGTTTATTGAGCTCTAGGGAGTCCTGGGAGAGGTTTGGGTGTGGTGGTCGCTCTGTGGGTCTGCAGCTCTGGTCCCTCTGGTCTAGATGACTCCGTGGCATAGGAGGGAATCCGCGTGGCGCAGGTCCTGGCTTCTGGAGGCGAGACAAAGAGAGAGAGCCATTAACAATGGTGCAAAGGTTCAGACAACGTACTGAAACTAAGGTTGACAAACTGGCTGGCGTGTCCATACGGATGAAGTACAACGATCCGGCGGGGACTGGAAGGTTGGCAGATCCTTTAAAGGCGTGTTGATTGCTGGCAGAGGCCCTGGTGTGCTGATTGCAGATGTGCTTCAGGTGGGAAAGTCTGGAGCTCAGAAACCACGCCCACCAGCAGTCTCAGGGCAACAGGCAGGCCAGGGTCACGACCAGGGGTTTGTGACAAGATCAGTCCTATCCAATGCCCCTTTTGCAGAAACGCTACCGCCATCTTAGGGGGATGCAAATACAGCCCTTTGATAAGGTTCAGCCGCTTCTCCTCATCCGATCAGACAACACTCATCTCATCGTGGCGAAGGAACCAGTTTGCATTAACCCTAATAGTGAACCAGTAGCAGTTCTCACAGAGCTTAGCTGGACACTTCAAGGAGTAGATAGCCTTGCTCCACATCAGGTCGCCGCTACTTCACTTCTAGCAGATCGAACACAGATGACATCTATCAACGTGTGGAGCGCCTTTGGCAGGTTGATGTTCTGCCATTCAGGAATGATAAGCTGGTAACTCGCTCCCTTCAAGATCCGGACGCTAACAGTCTTCTAGAGGCGGGCACTACGCGAGTGAAGGTTGGAGGCACATTTAGGTATGCAACACCCTTACCCCGCATCAAGGGAGACCCTTTATTGAAAACAACAGTTGAAACGGTGATGTCAACTCTTCAGAGTACAGAAAGACGGTTGCTGAAGGATCCTTTTAAGGCCAACCTCTATGAGGAGCAGATACAGAATCAATGATGGGTGTATCAGAAAGATCAGTATTGAGGAAGCAGCAAAGACACGTGAGTTGTGGTTCATTCCTAATCACCTTGTCGAACATAATGGGAAACATCAGCTGGTGTTTTATTGCTCATTCTCCTACCAAGGGCTCTTCCTCAATGACCAGCTGCTGCCGGGTCCAACGCTTGGGCCATCTCTCCTTAGTGTCATTCTACGATTTCGACAATATGCTGTGGTGGTGAGCGGAGACATAAAGGCAATGTTTCACCAGGTATGCCTTCTACCTGAGGACCAAGCCCTTGTGAGATTTGTTTGAGGCACCTGAAAAGAGACAAACCACCAGATGTCTACCAGTGGCAGGTCCTGTGCCATTTGGGACTACTAGCAGCACCTGCTGTGCAACATTTGCAAAAATTTGCTTGATGAGCGTTATTTGAGGCGCATTTTACTGTGACATCACAGTAAAGCTGAAGAAAAGGCAGGACTACAAACGAGCTGTTTTCAGGCAGTTTAGAGCAATGGGAGACGGGAACTGTCTTTGCGCTGGACTTCGGGCTTTTTCACTTTGCAAACCTATTAACATGCACAAAAAAGGTATATAACTCAATAACGCAGAGGGAAAAAGCCAAAAAGCATAATACCTCCTTTTAAAATATAATTTTTGAAAGGGCCTATCCATCCATCCATCCATCGTCAACCGCTTATCCTGTGTACAAGGTTGCGGGTAATTTTAAAAGGGTGAAAAATAAAACAGGATAAAATACATTTTAAAGAGTTGAATAGGAAAAAAAAACAGGGTGAAACAGGACAGTAACAGTCACAGTGCAGTGCACGCAATTAATCCACAGCCTTACATTTGATTTAATTAAAGGCAGTGGTAAAAAGAAAAGTCATAAGTCTTGATTTCAAAGAACTGAAAGTTTCAGCAGACCTGCAGTTTTCTGGGATTTTGTTCCAGATATATGGGGTGAAATAACTCATCTCACCTTCTCTCAGGGGAGACAAAGAGAGAGATGCTGGATTCTTCCTTCTGGCATAAAATAATTTTAAAAACGCTGGTTGGGTACACTACACTTGCTATGGTTGTTATCTATTGTGTATGAAGCAAAGACAAACAAAGCTTGATTTAATCTTATTTATTTAAAATGAAAACATAATGGAAGACGTCTCCTAATTTCAGGTGGTGGAGATAAAAGAGTAAAAAAGAGTTCCTGCAGAGCTGCTGCAGTGTTTCTAGGTCTGCTGTGTCTTCTCCTCCTGGCTGGACTCATAATTCTGTGTGAGTACATTTACATTTATTTACATTTATTCATTTAGCTGACGCTTTTATCCAAAGCGACTTACAATTGCTACAAACTGTATGTCAGACGTCGCACACCTTTGGAGCAACTAGGGTGTCTTGCTCAGGGACACATTGGTGTCTGACAGTGGATTCAAACCTTGGTCTCTCACACAAAAGGCATGTTTCTTATCCACTGAACCATCACCACCCCATACTGTGTTGGCATGCTGATGAAGCACTAAGAAGGTGATGTTGTTTAACTCATTTGTTCATTTATTGTTCATGTGCCAAACAGATATCAAAGGCAAGTCTGAGTGGGAAATGGAGATGGTCCTGTTACAGACCAGTTACAACAACCTGACTATAGAAAGAGACCAGTTACAGACCAGTTACAACAACCTGACTATAGAAAGAGACCAGTTACAGACCAGTTACAACAACCTGACTATAGAAAGAGACCAGTTACAGACCAGTTACAACAACCTGACTATAGAAAGAGACCAGCTCCAAAAAAGAGTTGGAGACACAACCAAAGAGAGAAATGATCTTCAGAGACAACTTCAAGGTAAATATTTCTTTCTTAATTCTGGCTGACCTTAACCTAATGACTCAAAGTTATATTTACATTCAGCATTTCACTATATATTTTTTATGTTTAGTGAGTGTGTTAAAAAGACATTCTCAGTCAATATAAGCAGGTGAATATTTGAAGTAATTAGCTAATAATTTATTTTTACTGCTGTTCTTATAACCTGCCAGTGATGCACACTGTCAAACAACTGTGTGTAATGACTGAATTAACCAAGGAACAATCTTGTTACATACGACGTTGTTACATACAACCTTGCCATGTTATGTAACTGAGCTTCTACCATTCTTTGTAATCAGATGTACCAATACGGTTGCAACAAAGTGCGAACTTCAAAATCAAATAACCTAAAATAAACTTTTCATGCAGTGAATGTCAGTAACTGTAATTCATTTGAGATAAATGTAGGCCTACTGACATTTGGTTATGTTAGCTAGCGAAGTGGGTGAGTATTGGTCAATTTCACCTGTGTTTGAACATTATTTACGCTGTTATGGGAGATTTACGGGAAAATATTTAAACAGGAGGACAGCGGGAGAATCCCAGGAAAAACGGGAGGGTTGACAGGCATGGAAATGTTACAAATGTTAAGTATGACAGATCCAATTTATTTTTAGGGATGAAGGGATTGATTTGATGATCTACTGTTTGTGGTTTTGAGTGGTGGCAAAGGTGCACTCACTGTATTAATGTACTTTTCATCAGTGAGTAGATCACTTAATAAACATGGTAACATACAGGGCCATATCATAATTTGCACTTTCAGTTTCTTTAAATAAGGGAGGATGAGAGCCAAACACAAATCATAACAGGACAACTAGTGATCACTGTTACAAGAAAGCTAATGATACTGTATTAGATTAAGTGGAGGAACCCCCCCCCCCCCCCCCAACATAGTTGTGTAATTACTCTCACTGTCAAAAGGGGAAGACAAAAGTTCCACACTGCAGGTTTAAACTCAATACACAATGGGAATTATCTTTCAGATACTGAGGCCAGTTGCAAAACCCTGGCTGAGAAAGACAAGATGAACATGTTGAATAATGGTAAGTATCATGATGAAATTGTTAGTGATAAAAGTGACCCAATATTCAGCCTGTGAGTCTTCATTCATACATATTTCTAAGATAGATACCACCTTGGCTCTTTGTTTTGTAGCTGAAGCCTTTTTTAAATTCTTGTTCGTTAAATGTGATAATATGATATTTTAAAGTACTTTGTGTTTTTCATTCACTCAACAAGGATGGCAGTGTTTCCAAGATAGATGCTATCACATTTCTTCACAGAGGAAAACCTGGCAAGAAAGTAGAAATGATTGTCTTCAAAAAGGTGCAGACCTGCTGATTATCAACAACATCGAAGAACAGGTGTGTGTGTGTTTGTGTGTGTTTGTGCATGAATCTGTGTGTAAGAGAGACGTAGCACATCCACGACCACTCATGTAGAATAAAGAGCAGAACTATTGAATGAATGCAAAGGTCACTGAAGTGGAGGATACATCAATACATCAGTTTCATTTCTATTATGTTGTTTACAGTTTGTGTCTCTTTTTTTTAAACAAGACTTTTATAAGACAGTTTAACAAGTACATGTGGATTGGCCTGACCGACTCAGAGACGGAGGGGACATGGAAATGGGTGGATGGGACTCCAATGACTACAAGGTTCACGCATGTTTACAATCAAATTAAATCACTACCTGGTGCTTTTTGGGTTGTGTTCACTGATAAAAGCTTTTTTTTAATTTCAGGTACTGGTATTCTGGGGAGCCTAACGGTGGAAGCGGTGAAAACTGTTTGGAAATAAAGTACTATGATGAAGAGAACAGCTGGAATGATGAAGCATGTTCCAATTCACACTTCTGGGTCTGTGAAAAGAAATTCCCTCCATAACCCTCCATCCAAAACCATCAGACAGTGCTGAAAACTCAATACGTTCACTGGTTTTTATAGAGCGCCAAATCATAACAGAAGTTATCTAAGGTCATTTTTTAGATTTGTCAGTTTAGTGTGGATATAATGTG